GCCTAGGTGTGGGCTCCAGGTGGCTGCAGCAAGAAAGGTCCAGCAGTAGTGAGGGGGAGGGGCCACTTTTCCCTTGCACTGAGCAGCAGCTTCTGCCTGGCTGCTGCCGCTGCTGTTCAGCATGGGTGGATGAATCTGGAGCAGGCATGAGGTGGGCCAGGGTTGGGGCTGTCTGCACAGGTTCCAGCTGGTCTGCTGCAGCTGGCATGATTCCAGAGTAGGTGCGGGGTGGGCTGGGGTGGGGCTGGAGCTGTATGCTGTTGGTGGGGGGTAGCGAGGAGCTGGAGGGTGCATGGGCTCCAGACTGTGGGGTGAGGGGGAGGAGGGTGCTGACTATTGTTTAACTGTACAATCAAAATTGTGATTAATTGCGACTATTTATTTTTTAAAGTTGCAATTAATTGTGATTAATTTTTAATTGTTTGTCAGCCCTAATATTTACCTTAGTGACAAAGGCATGTCCTCCCAGCACCCATTAGCAATGGATGCAACCAGCTTCAGTAGGATGTAGCTATTATTTTTCAATTTTTGTAAGCCAAGGAATGAACTTTTGTGTGTCCTAACTTCTACAGATCCCTTAGATTTCACCAGCTAGTTAATGTTACATCCTTTTGTATAAAAGTTAGAGCAAGGGTACTTCATCACAGTGGATATTTCTGAAACTGACACACAGTGTTTTCTGAATGACCATCAGAAAGACAGTGTCCAATTCTATCATGTTTAGTAAATACATAGATACATTTTTCTTATTCCTATATATACCATTCATTTCAAAAGAGGAGTTATGATTTGGCCTACAAATACAAGGCTTACTGCATTTATTTTATTGGTAAATCCACTGGGGCTTCAGCAACATAACAGCAGACAGGGCAGGAAGCAGAAGGCAGAGCAGGAGATCAGGCAGGGAGCACAGAGTATGGAGCAGAAAGCATAGCAGACCAGGCAGAGAAAAGGGATCAGAGTGGCATTTGAGAGGGGTGCGGGGCTAATTTGTGGTGTGCCTGCCAAAAAGGTTGGCCCCCACTGTTTTTTGCAGGTATTTATATACAGAACCATTGGCGACATGTAGGGGGTGCACACGCACCCCAAACTTGGCGGTGCACCCCTTGCAAAAAGCGTCACTGATGCTGCCAGTGGCACCTGTGGGCTGCTCACCAACACCCCCCACCCCCCTTGCCACCAATACCACTGGCGGTGTCAGCAGGCGGTCTCTGATCACCACTGGCTGCTGACGCCAGAGGCATCTGCGGGTGGTCGCTGACTGCTGGTTGGCACTCACCACCCCCTCCCTGCTGCTGGCATCACAGCAGCCACTTGTGGGAGCTCTCTGCTCATTTCCGCCGCCGACATCACTGCCTGTGGGAGCTCGCTGTGCCCCCCAGCCTCCAGGGGCGTGCGGCATTCATGTTCAGAACTATTTACAGTAAAACACTAACAGCCTTACTACTACCCTTACAAACATCTGCGGTCTAACCTAGGTCTGTTCAGTCACACTAGAAAGTTCCTGGTGCCTCACTTAAACTGCCCTCTTGGGATTACTCCCTGGATAAGTTATGTTTCCAGAAGGATTTACTCCATGTCACATAGTCAGCCATGACTCTGGAAAAATCTTTGTTTTTCTACACTCTGGCTTCCAAAAATAAGGTGAATTTCTTATGGGGGGCAGGGGTGGCAAATGAGAAAATACAGTAATGGGAGGATATTAGCAGATGTAGTATTAAACAATTAGCAAGCTGAGTAAGTATGAAGGGGCTTGTTCTGGAATTTTTTAAAGCAAAAAATTTGAAATTTGGAATGGTAGGAATGGTTAAATGGCACAATAGTCCACCATACTACATAGAGAAGTAGGGATTGAAGGGACCTCCAGAGGTTATCTAGTGCAACTCTCTGCCTGAGGCAGGATCATCCCTACCTAAACCATTATATACAACTCCAGTAACCTCTTACCAAAACTGAGTACAACCCTGACACAAGACATACCCTAATCTGCCACAAGTAAAACAGGGAGACCATAGCAGCCAATGTCCTGCTGCTATAAAGGCTGTTAATATGCTGAAGAGATCCCAGGAAGAGGGCCATACCCCCCACTACAGAGAAAAGCAAAAAACCCCCAGAGTCCTACCAATCTGATCACGGGTTAAAATTCCTTCCTGACCCCAAATATGGCAATCAGTCTGACCTTGACTGAAGTGACAAGAACCTTAAGCCAGGAATACCTGGGTTCAAGCGCCAGCAGAAACATTGGCACACCCCAGTCACAAGCCCCAGGCTTGGCTGCAACCAAAACTCAATGCCTCTGAGGGAGGCTTAAAAAACCCCTGACATATGCAGCATCAGGGGGTGGGGGGGATTGGGAAAGGCCATACTAGCCCCATTCGTCAACCAGCAAAGCCCAGAAGCCTGGGAAATACCCATAAAAAGAATGCCTAGAAAATCCCCTATCAGTGGCTGCCCAACCTCATCTTGATCACCTTCAGTGAGGGAGATTCCACAACTTTCCTGAAAGTCTTTTTCACTGTCTCACCACTTTAACAGTGAAGTGTTTTCTGATACCCAAACTAAACTTACTTGGCTGAACCTTCAAGCCATAGGTCTGCGCCCTGCTCTCTGCAGCAAGGCAGAAAAGGTATTTTCCCTCTTCTTTATGGCAGTCCTTGAAGTCCTATGGAAGTTTATAGCTTCTCTCATTCCTTGGAGTCTCAGAACAGCAGAGACTTCCTATGCCTGAAGAAGGGTGATTGCATCTGAAAGCTTGCTAAGAACTTTTTTCCAGCTACTCAGTTGGTCTAATAAAAGATATCACATCTACTCAAAGAACCTTGCCTGGCAGTCCTTGAAGTATTTGAAGACTGCTATCATGTCACTTCCTAAGCACCTTTTGTGCAAGCTGAACATGTCTACCACCTTCAACCTCTTCTCATATGTAGGGACCTACCTAAATCGTGGCAGAAGTTCACAGCGCAGTGGGACCTTTAATCTTGCTCTTTTCACTGCGTGCCCCTCCACTCCTGCTGTCACTGAGTGGCCAAGAGGCAAAAACTGTGGCATTAATTGCCTCTTGGCTACTCAGCAGCAGCGGTTGGGGGCACTGTGTAGAGAAAAGAGCAAGATTAAAGGTGCCGCTGCACCCTGAGCTTCGTTGCAAATTAGGCAGGTCCCTATTCACATGACTTGCCTTCCAAGCCCTTTATCATTTTTGTTTCCTGATTCTGTACCCTAAGTTCTCTACATTCTTTTAAAAATGAGGAGCCCAATACTGCACACAATATTCTATATGAGGCCTAACCAGTAGGGCTGGGCTAGGCTTCGGCCAGATCCAGAGAAGCTTTGGGGTCCAAAGCAGCATATCAGGGTCGAAGCGCTGGCCTCGTTAGGCTTCTCAAAGCAGTTTGGAGCTTCCAAAGAGCTTCGGAGCCACCTCAGAGATCTGGCCATAAGGTATAATGGGGAAACAATAAAATATCTATAACTTTGTTGTTTTTTGTCTGATTTGGATGAAATTTCCAGGGGTGGCAGACTCTGCAGAGAGGATGAAGCTTACCAAGTTTCAAGAAGATTGATGCAGGGGCTTGGGGGGAACAGCACCCCAAATTCTTGAAAGCAACACTCATGTCTAGGTGTTACAACATAGCGGGTTGAAAACTGCAGGGGTGGTAGCTCTTACTGAGGCTACAAAGTCTGCCAAGTTTCAAGAAGATTGGTGCAGGGGTTTGGGGGCAACTGTACCCCTGTGGTGGCCAGAACCAGAGGGGTTACTATCATAAGCAGTAAATAGATGCTTTTGGAGACATTCAGGCAATTGTCTAAGCAGTTAAGATTAGCTAATACAAAGCCTGTAAGTTTGCAACCTGCAAGTGGAATTTGTCTGTCACAATTTAACCAAAGTGTTGAATCTAATTATTTGCACTGATCATGAGATTGACTAGTCCCCAAAAATAAGCCAAACTACAAGAATAGCTGATTTAACAGGTTTTTTAAAGGTCAAGCCGTAACAAGATCTGACCACTTAATATAATTAGCACATTCCAAGGAATCTAAGAAATAAAAGACCAGGGGTTGGGTTTGGGCAGGTAATGCTAATTTCAAACCTCAAAGTAATGTGGTGTAATTTGCTTATTGGGTGAACCTAAGTTCGGGCGGTAAACTTTCATGATAATTTCTAACACCTTTTAATCCCATAGGGTAACAGCTATAGGACAAGACTGTGAGTGGCTCTAAAGCCAACAGATTAGCGTAGGATAAGACATAAAGGAACATGCATGTCAAATGACCAGTTAGAAGGACGGGACAGAAGGACCATCGCTGTACCAAGCATGGACCCCGGACTCCCAGTGTGAGTGAGGACCGGATCCTGACAAAGGGATCTTCCTGGTGACTCCTCAAACAGCGCTGATTGGGGATGCCTGACTTTGCTGGAACAACTTGGTGCGCACCTGGCATTGAGGGACTGCCTATAAGTTGCCAAACCCAAGTGGGAACTCTTTGTCATTCTGTCCATCTGTTGTTATCATTCACTATTAGCTCTTTATTACTGTACTATCTGTTTGTCGCATTAACCTTTCTGTTAACAGTTGTATGCTAAGCTATAAGTAAATTTGCCTTTAGTTCACTCCCGACTCGCCTCCTCGATCCCGAACCGAGCAGCTTAACGGCTGATACACTCAGAGAGCCTAGCCAGCCTGTGACATACCCCAAATTCTTGAAAGCAAAACTCATGTCACGTCTATGTGTTACAACACAGGGGGGTCAAAACTGCAGGGGTGGTAGCTCTTACTGATGCCACAAAGCCTGCCAAGTTTCAAGGAGATCCGTGCAGGGGTTTGGGGGGAACTGCACCTCAAGCTGTAGACCCTGACACAAGGCTGGGGGTTGGGGGGCAATGCAGGCCTCTGTCCCCCACTCCCCGTCATGCTTGATGGGCAATTTGCTAGTACTTTAGATAAGATACTTTAGATACAGATGCACTATCTAACTTTCTGGGGAAAAATAGTTCTACTAACCTGTTTAATCTAGGTTCTTTGTAGCAAATGTTGGTTTTTCTTCGTCTAGTTGGTGTTTTTGAGTTTTCTTCAAAAATTTTCTGGGTTTCAGGCAAGGAATTATGGGGATATAATTTCATATTTGTCAGATCTTGTAGAGCTTGACTCTCTGTGAATACAGTTGTTTGCATCCTTCATTTCAAATAATTTCTGAATTTCCAAATGATTTTTTAAAATGTTTTTAAAACTAATATTTGTTAATTGGCACAAATACTACTTTGGAATCACATGATCTGATTTACCAAGTATCATTCAGCGTAAGACAGTGATTAGACAAGGAAAGTATTTTTACATCAGTTCTGTAGTTTAACTACTTTGGAATGAATTGAGGATTGCTTTGACTCTTGGTACAACCTACAGACTGCTATAATTTAAATCTGGCTAGCTATGTTCACAAGGAATTTTTGTGGCAGTCTGATATTGCCAGCATTTAACTATGAAACCCATCATGGGCTCAAATCCCTGGGGATTCAGAGGATGGGCAAAGAACCACAATGTGGAATATATCCCTATGCCAAAAGGGCATATAAACATTTATATAGGCATAAAGGAGTTATAGTATGAAGTCCATTTTATTTCTAAGGCTATTAGATAAATGAGTAACATTACAAGGAACTGATATTGTATACCCCTGATTTGTGTATACCCCTAACTTGTTTTGCTTCAGTATGATTAACCCCATTTGTTTAAATTTAAACCCAATTGAAAAGTTTGAACTTTCTTCTGTAAAATATAGAAAAATGGTCTGGTGTCTTTATAGCTGCATGCCAATAAAGTGTCTTTATAGCTGCATGTTAGACAAATTCTGAACAGGATTTTCTTGGCAAAGGCCTCAGAATTAATATTGTAGTTGTATTAGTATTGTATTGTAGTTCTTATAGGAATATAGTTGGTAGGAATTGAGAGAATTAATGGAAAAGACTCTTGGCTCTATCTTCCATTTGCAAGAAGTAGGTGCTAATAGGTCTTCAAATGATTATTTTACCCTTACATAATTGCCAAAGAAATTGCTTAACTTTCCATTTCAACTCTTGAAGTGAAAATCTCTCACTACAATTCTATTACACTCTTTATGGGAATAGTACAAGCACCAACTACAGATGGTTCAGAGACTATAAACCACTTAAAGCAGCCTGAATTACACATGAACCTGGGATATATTATAAACTAATAGGAACATTATCTACCACAAAAAAGAAAAAACAGTATCAGTGATTTCCAATCTTTTTTTTACCACCCCTATTTCATCCACTTTTGATAGTGATGGACAATTCATGACTAAAATCAAGATAAATAACATGACTAATAGTGGGGGGATCTATATTAGCAATATTCAAAGAAATTACCTTTTCTCTATATAACATATTACAGTCTAACCTTTCATTAGTTTTTTCATGGCTCAAATACTTACTATTGCATAGTATTAAGTTCTTTTGACAAGATCTTTCAAAAGGCATTTTGAATTTCCTCCCTCCTTTATTAGTGCACAATGGTCTCTCATTAATTTTTTTGAAGATTTCAGAGGTCTTTAGGAGAGGGAAGTTTACAGAAATTGTATGGTGGTTAACAGCTGGGAGCTCTTTGTGTGAAAGACTCCCTTGATAAGAGCTGCATGAAGCAACTGACATATCCTCAGAACAGGCCACAGGTGAGAATTTTAAAAGTTCTGATTCTTTAGGCATAAAATGCAGTAGTTCTGGTTTAACAATCAACTTGTTCATGAAGGACTCCACCTCTGTTTGGGTCTTTTGGTCATCCAAAACATTCTGTTCCATCTGGTCAATATGCCTCCTGTCATACGCTTCTAGCCTAATCTCAGCATCCTTAGAAATAATTTTGTCTTTGTTCTTAATCTGATTATCTGGGAAAATTAAAATAGAAGGCTTTTTAACACTGCAATCAACCACGTTCTTTAAGGAGGATTTAGCTGATTGTTTGTTCTCAGGTTTACTGGTCTGAATATCTAAATCTCCCTGAACTTGCTGTGTTTTAGTAATTCTATTTCCAAGAACTTCATTGTGTGACATGGTTTCATTTTTTAACCATTGCTTTACAGAAAATGTATATGGTGCAAGATCTTTTGATTTATTAATATTATTTTTCTGGTTACTTTTTGTGAAGAGCCGCTTTGAGCTTCCTGGTGAAATATTAACCTTTTGGCCTATTTCCTGGATAGGTACAGTACAAGTAGAACTGTCCCTGCAACTATCATCTTTGTGATATTCACTCTTTCTGTTACTCTTCTGGTCTTGTTCTGTCTTACAATCAGATTGGCATGCCTTTGCACTGGAACTTTTTGAACAGCTGTCTGACTGCTGTCCAGTTTTTTCTCTATAGTAATTTGTTTTGCTCATTTCAGAAGGGATTTGAAAGTTTTTTCTGTTTATTTTTGGTCTATTATAGTTCCCATTTGTAACTGCTAAGTTCTGCTCTAGAGACATGGTATTGGACACGTGGTTTTCTTTACTTTGTAAACTTTTAGTACTATAATCTTTTGATAGCGCGTTGCTACAGGATAAGATAAAGTCAGGGCATTGGAGCTTGTCAGCCATGTTTTCCAAGCAACCTTCTTTATTTTTTTCTTGTTTTGGTTCATCAGGACATGCTAAATTAACCACATAGGTCTGTCTGACATTTTTATGATTGTTTTGAGAGTTCTGTCCAACATCATGTTTATTGATCCTCAGTAGTTTCCATTTCTTCAAAGCATTCCCTTGAGCCACAGGTTTTATCTGCATTTGAAACATGTCAGCTTCTGGTTCAGCAATATTTGAATTTTTAGCAACTTCAGTATTTTTGTGCCCTTCCTCACTTGGAAAACCAGAAATGCTTCTAGGATTGCTGTTCATTTTCTTTTTATCCTTTTTCCCTGTATTTGAATATCTCACCTTTCTTAAATTTGCTGAAATTTTATCATTTTTTACATTACTATTCCTATTATTTTTGACTTTTGATGCAACTGTGAGGATCTCGCGCAAATCACTAGCTGTCAATTCCATATCAGCATCATAAACAGTTTCCTCAGGCTTTCTCTCGCTAACCAAGTGCATCTTATTTGATTCTGTCTTACCAAATTCTTTGATAGACTGAACTGGGGAAGGAGGAAGTTGAGACAACATATTTAGTTTTGGCTGAACACTTGTAGTAGTAGTCACATTGCCATTATCAGTTATATTATGTGACTCATTATTTAGACTCCCTTCTTTATTACATTCATTTATAGTAGATTTAATATCTGATCTACAAAATAGTGCATGTTTCTTCCACTGAGTCATATTTTCATTTAATGGTAATGGACTATCATTGTGTGGTTTCATAAACTCTTCAAATGGGCCCATAGATGGTATATTACTGACATCAGAGATGAAAACACAGCTACAGTTGAGTTCTGTCCATGGCCGATTTTCTGCAACCAAAAAGCAAATTTAAATTACTTTAAAAAAAGAGAGGAACAATATCATTTGACTATCATGAAATATAGACGCCCATTTTAGAAACATTGCATTTTTTTCTTCAGAATATGCTATATTCAGTATATACTATATACAAACACATACAGAAATAGAAGCTATCAACTGCCTTCCATATCGTTGATCATGAGATGCTGTTGACTAAGGCAGGTTAGACATTTTCCATCAAAACCTCCATTGGAAAATACTTGTGAAACCTGAAAATATTTTAGTAAAACATCACAAATTTGACAAACGTTCATCAAATTGCAAGCAAGGTTTCTGGTGGGTTGTTGGAAAGCACAGGTTTCCAGAGTCTGGGGCAGCCAGCCAGGAAGGCTGTCCTGAAGCCAGAAATCTTATTCTAAATTCTGCAGCCTCAGTACAGTCTACCATGAAGACTATTTTGAAGGAAAGTATGGAATCAGGTGTTTACCCAGTCTAATAAGAGAAAATAGTAGTCCACAGGTAATACCTTCCTTTATATCTTCATCTCTCACTCATTCAACTCAGGGTCTGCTGCTTTGGGACAGTCCAGCAATGCAGAATGCCAGGGACCACCTCCAGTCTCTTTACTGTTGAACTGAGAGCCTAGAAACTTTAGGAGCCCTGGCTATTACTGATTTTCAGTTCCTATCTCCACATCTGTAAACCTGGAAACCCACAGCCACAGCTCTTATGGCTCCCAAATTTGCTGCAATGGCCCATAAGCATGGAAACCCTAGAGGACCCTAAGTGCTCCCAAATCTCTGGTGCAGAGCTGGAAGTTTGGGGAAGAAAATTTCAATTTCAATCATAAAACAAGCTACCAAAGTTATGCCCAACTGGTCTCTCTTTCTCCGGGCTCAGAGGTTGCACAGTTTCCTGTCATTACCCAGCTTATTCAATAGCTCTGAAGGCAGCATTAGCTCTTATAATAAAAGCAAGGAAAGCTGATCTTCCTAAATTGCTAGATCATTATCCAACATTATCCAATAGGAGTATGTGATCAGACAAGCAGATCAAAAGTTAGCTGGCAGTCTGGAGCTGTTCATGAAAAAAAATGAGTTGAATGCTAAAGAGGGAGTTATAAAATACCACCCAGATATCAGGAAGTACAGGAAGAAATATTTAAAAAGATAGGAAAACATAGCAACAGGGAACTGCAGGTCTGTCAATGAAGACTACTTATATTTGAGTCCTGGAACTCAGTTGTTACAGCAATACAAATTACTGGTGTAAACAGACAGGTACTAGCTGCACCAGATGCCAAGCATAGTCTTTCTTAATTGAGACTCTCTCCAATGTAGCATGATCACAGGTGCAGTCAGCACTGCAGGTTGCAGTCACCTTATCATAGGTAGCAGCCTGGCATGTCTGAGTGGGCCTCTCACCTCTAGAAGATGTTTACTCATGTCCAAAGTATCCCAAATCTGTATATTTAATAAAGCCTGGTTTATTTGTTAATGCTTTGGAGTTGCTAGCTTCACAGAGCTGACAGAATGTAAGCAATTTGCAAGAAGGGGGTGGATGTGGTTGAAATAGAGTACTTACTGTAACTCATTTTCTTGAGTTACAGTAAGTTAACGTTAATTTTATTGCATTTAGGTTATTATTCTTACAAGAACTGATCTTTAAATTATTTTAGGACAGGTACAATTTTGGGTGAACATCCTCTTTAAATTAAGTAAAAAATAAATATTAAGGTTTATGAATTTGAAAGAAGCCTGAAATGGCATGAACTGTAATTCTCACTTAGATGTACTGTATTAGATGGCAATTAAATCACTTTTATAGGCCAAATTATAGTAATGTCTAAAAATCAAATTTATTAAACAATAAATTAGCATACCTTTGACACATACATGTGCATCTAAGACTGTTTCCATTTTTTCTATTTCATTTGGTTTTGAATTACTTTTCTCAGAACTCAATAACAATTCAGAACTGATCTTATCTGAGCAGACTTTGTTAGATGCAACAGCAGTGTTTTTACAAAGATCATCAGCTATTTCACATACAGGAGGACTGTTTTTCTGTTTTGCATTATGTGCTGCAACTAAAGGAATCTTCACAGACATTCCTCCAGATCTGAAAATCAGAAATTGTACTATTAATTAGAAATATTATTATGTTATGCATTACCTAAATAGTATACAAGAGCAGAAAACAAACTCAGATAAGAAGTGCTTTTGTTTTGGGCTGTATCTTAGGGAAATATGTATTTTTCTGACATTTCATAGATTTCATAGACATTAGGGCTGGAAGGGACCTCGGAAGATCATCGAGTCCAGCCCCCTGCCCAAAGGGCAGGAAGTCAGCTGGGGTCATAGGATCCCAGCAAGATAAGCATCCAGTTTCATCTTGAAGGTGTACAATGAAGGCGCTTGAACCACCTCCGGTGGCAGGCTGTTCCAGACCTTGGGGGCTCGGACAGTAAAGAAATTCTTCCTTATGTCCAGCCTGAAATTATCTTGAAGTAGTTTGTGACTATTCGATCTCGTCATCCCTTGGGGCGCTCTGGTGAACAAACGTTCCCCCAGATACTGGTGGTCACCCCTGATAAACTTGTAGGTGGCCATCAGATCACCCCTGAGCCTGCGCTTTTTCAGGCTAAAGAGCCCCAGGGCTCTCAGCCTGTCATCGTAGGGTCTGCTTCCCTGACCTCTGATCATGCGCGTGGCTCTTCTCTGGACTCTCTCAAGCTTCTCCACATCCTTTTTGAATTGTGGAGCCCAAAACTGGACACAGTACTCCAGCTGCGGCCTCACTAAGGCCAAGTACAGGGGGACAATGACGTCCCAGGATTTGCTTGAGAAGCATCTATGGATGCAAGCCAGCGTTTTGGTCGCTTTACT